CGGAAGAGATGGGACGGGAGAGAAGAGGTGTGTTAGGGTTTAGGGTTTGGAATCGGGAAAAAAGATTACGGAAGAGGAGAAGACGAGAATGCTGCTTGAGGACTCCGAAGTGGCCGAGCATTCTGATCGATTTGGCCCGTCAAGGTAGCCAGCGCTGGATCAACCCTTAGGGCCTACTTGGAGCTCATGCTTTCTAATAAAACTGGTTATATATATTTTATTTATTATTATTTTCTTAGATAATCATCTCTTTTAAAATTTTAATTTTATTTTAAACAAATATATTATAAATTCAAACACAATAATTAGAGAGGTGAATTTAGCTGGAACATCCTTAATCGCTAAATTTGAATTTTGATTCCTATCGAAAATTAATTGGGCGATTTATGAGATGCAATTTTGAATCAATTTTTTTTCGAGTAATGCATGGAACAGTTCGAGCTAATTTGAAAACGGTTCAAAATATTTTTTATTTATAAAAATTATAATAAAATTAAATACAATGAGTCTTGAGCTGATTTTGAGCTAGCACGAATTAAAAAATCTTTATTTGAGCCTGCTAGTTTTGATTTCGAGCGGAACCTGATGACATAACTCAATTTAAGCTAACTTATTTTGATTTTGAGGTAGATCAATATGGATTAAATTTCGAGCCGAACAGGCCGAAATCAAATATAATGAGCCACCCACCAATTTCAAACTAAAGAGCTGGCTCCAACTCTAGCTCGAAATAGATCTGTTAACAGATCCAACAATAATCATAAAATTCTTATAAAAAATTTTGAAAAATACCGAAAACTTTTTATGGCAACCAAATTCAAATTTTGAAAAAAATTGCTTTTTTTTTTTTTTTTTTTTTTGCGAAAGTCCATAAAAAAATAGAAGTTAAAGGGATGCTCACACAAAATAAAATAATGAAAAAATTATTTTATATATATATATACTTCAAACAATTTCTAAAAAAATTGTTTTTCCTATATTACAATTACATTTTCAAAAAAATTACAGATGTCACAACCATATCATTAGTTAAATTTAGACTCTATTTACACGAGTGATTAAATTTAGACTTGGAAGCAAAATTTTTTCTTACTATTTTTCCTATTTAGATGGGTGATTTTAGTCCGCAGGCAATAAGAGCGTCAAATTAGTCCCCATACTCTTTAAATTTAGATTGCTCAACTCCAGACTCATTTAAACCTCATATTTAAACCTCCACTAAATTTACTACCACCTCACCAAATAAACATAAAAAAGGCACATTTACATAAATACCACAATTCCTATATATTCACACATTCAAGACCTAAACTTTCATATTTACACATCCTTAGCATCACAATGACAACACCACCAGCACAAACTTCTCAAAATTGAAATAACCTTTTCAAGCATATAGATTTACAACACCAAAATGTCATCATCATAAACATCAAACCTAACACATTAAATATGCAAATACATAAGAATCATGTGGTAAATATGTAAATTTCTCTAAAATAAATAAAAAAAATACAATCTACATGTGCATTTCTATGCCCACTTGGCTAAAACTGCCATGAAAGCAGAGCCAAGGAGAAGAGCCAGATGAGCTCCAAGCTGAAGATTTATATTATCCTGCATTCTAGGGTTTGTGAAATCGGCAGCCAAGAGATCCACAAGCGACATGTAGATTAAGATCCCAGCTGAAGCAGCATCAAACACCCCTTCAATTATAAGGGCTGTTGAGCTATGTGGGTTGTAGCTTGAAGAAATAGCAATGCCCAGAGCTATTCCGAAAGGAGCTGTCATGGAGAAGAAGATGGCCATTATCACTGTTGCTCGTGCCCTGAAGTTTGCCTGCATTTGTTCATGAGGATGATCGCATTATGATCGATTTTATCAGGATCGAATAAACTCTTCCCCGTCCGTGCATGTGGAGTTTGATCGTCAAAAAACATTCAGCAGCATAACATCTTATAAGGTTGTGCAATAATTTATAGGGGTGGTTACATGCATTTACATATTTAGCATGCAAACTCTGCTTTCTTATATTTATACCAGTCAAATCTTTTATGTCACTTCACAAATATCATGATTGTATGTTTTGAAGGTGAAATACACATTTTTATGAATAGGTAAGTTACCTGAACTATGCAACCAGCAAGCCCAACTCCTTCAAAGAATTGATGAAAACTCAAGGCTCCAAGCAAGGGCTTGATTGTTTTGGCACTGCCAGATGTCCCCAAGGAAACCCCAATAATTACAGAATGAACCACGACACCCAATTCCAACACCTACATTAAAGAAAAAGGAGGATAAATGATTAATGTTAAAATAATGCTAGAAGGAGAGGAGGGAGCAAGTGTTTGAACAAAAGTATTCTTCGCAAGCATAGCAGAATAACTTTGGTCAAAATAAAAATAAGGAATAGTTAGATCATGCCACTCAATTCTTATGTAATTACATGTCTCACAACGCCTAAACTTCAATTTTTACATATTTATGTCATGTTACTTAATGTTGAGAAATTAGGGCGAAGAAAAAACAGAGGCAACTTTCTCTCCTCACAAAATCATAAGAGAATCTAATATAAATTACAACAAAGTAGCATACACTTGTTCATTTTCTCCCAAAAATGAGCAAACTACTGCATTAATTGACACAAATCCAGAAGAACGCACAGAGATTTAGGAGGTTAGGCAAAAATGTCTACACAAAGATGCCTACGTCCTCGGGAGCAGAGCGGTAGTTCCTTTCAATATTCAGAAAAGAGGTTACAAAAATCAGGATGTTACAGAAATCAGGGATACCTCCTGGGGTTACTAACAGTCCTATTTATAACCCCAGGAGTAAACCCTAAGTATAATATGTAATTACAGCATTACCCATGTACCGTACCGCAGAGTTTTGCCCCCGCACCCCCAACCCACGTAATGAAACTCTCCCGATTGGACAGATCATTCCGCTCCACTTTGCTCGTGGGCTCTGCTCCGCTCCAGCATCTATCTCATTTATGGTATATAAGTCATACCTAACACTTAGGCATGACAAGGAGTATTTCACTATTAAACAGTTAAAATAGTGGTATTTCTGATGTGATGGGAATGATTTGAGCGGTGTAAATGTAAAAAAAAAATAAAGTTTAGGTGTTAGATATATGCAAATACATAGGAATTGGGTGGTACATATGTAAATGTTGAGTATACTCAATGGGTCGACATCCAATTCCTGATGTAAATCATCAATTCATCGCACTTTCTTGACAGCTTGCCAACATTGTCAAACGTCCATAATTAACCAACATCCATTAATGAACATCGCCCTTTAATGGTGCATGTTGGTTCATAACATCAAATATCCTCAGTCAATCGACATCTATCAATATCTAATAATTAATGCCTACAATCTCCCTTTGTCTGCTAAAGTCATCTGACTTCTAAGTCGAGATCACCGACTTTCTAGAATAGACATTAGTAGTTGCCCTTCATTAGCATCATTGAACGACATATGTTAGCTACCCTTCAACAACATCATTGACCAACATGTATTGTACCTCGTTGACATTGTCACCTCCTACTATCTCAAGAGAAAATATATTATAACCTCGTCTTCTCCAGTTTTGAGAATGAGCAAACATTTGAAACATAAAATTAAAGAGGCATTTACATACACAACACAAGTTCTTATGTATTTATATATCTCACGTCTAAACTTTGGCATTTTTCACACAGAACACTCAAATACTTAACATCATATCCAGAGGCATTTACATACACAACACAAGTTCTTATGTATTTATATATCTCACGTCTAAACTTTGGCATTTTTCACACAGAACACTCAAATACTTAACATCATATCCAAAATAGCACTATTATCACTTTTTAAAATTGAAATATATTTTTTCATGCTTAGCTTTAAAGCACGAAAGTGATATTTTTGACATAGTCTTCCGCCACTCCCAGCTTTCTGCTCTATACTCTCAGTTGGCACATTTATTGTCTAGTTGGCCTATTTGGCCAAAGATGAGCTCTCTAGAAGAGCTATTCTGGGAAGGTTGTTCCGGAAAAATATTCTTATGAGAGCTATTTTTCTGGACGAATGCAGGTGGACGAATCCAGGGGATCAAATGCATGTAGCTGAATATAAGGAGTCAAATGCAAGTAGTCAAATACAGATTCCTGATTCAGGAGATTTTAGTCATACATATTTAATTTCCCAAATCACTTATATTTTTGAACATAACTCAAAAAATAAGATAATGATAAATATGAAACTATGCATTGCTCATCTCTGTAAGACGAGTATATGTTATATAGTCTAAAGAATAAATTCATTTGATTTGTTATTTTCTCAAAATACAAGTCAAAACTATTCAAGTAAAGATGAATGGTATATTCCTCTATATGATGACTATTCATCTGCTTAAGTGCTCTTAGTTTTCTTACAAGGAAACATCTTCAAGCAGTTTAGCTATACCTACAAGGTTCCATTTGGGGGGACATTTTGGCTTACCTTATGGGAATAGTTTCATAAATTAGTAGCTCATTTGTATTATCATAAAAAAAATATCTTTTAGTGCGATTAAATCGATTGTTTTCTCGTAATATAACTTAGTTACAAAGGAAATTAAGCAATTCCGTTGAATTTGGATTATCTTTCATTTGTTGATCATGGCTCTTCTACATTGAGTATTTATCGCAATTTTTTAATTTTAAATAGGCCAAGATCTCATGGTCTTCAACCCCTAGATTAAATAACTTCATCAATAATTTGGTTGTGTTATATTTTAAAAAAGTTTCTCCAAATTGGTCTTTAGTATTATACTATTGAGCTGGGTAGGGCCTGAAAATTTAGGTGATTTTTCTTTTACTCTCAGGAAATTTGTTTATGAGAGGCAAAATTTCTATGTATTAACGAACTCATTCTATATAACAAGTAATGTATGCATTAATCATTATATACATATTGAAGATGTTTAAAAATTATATATATATGCAAATGATATAAAACAAAAATAAGAAAGAGAGTTCTGAGAAATTTTCCTCGTCATCTGAAGCTTTGTTGTTGCTTAGCTCAACTCATTATAACTCCCTATATCTTGGACAAGTTATTTCCTTGAAGTTATCTTTCAGATAACTCTCTTATGAGATTTGTTTCACTAGATGAATTCAGGTTGTCGAATGCATGTGATTAAATACGAGGGGCAAATGCAGCTGGCCGATTGCACGTGTCCGAATGGATGAGTTTGGCTTTTCTCTCAGACGAGTTTTGGGGTATATTACATGTTATAGTTAGTACTCTAATCGATTCCCCTAGCTCCTTGTGTGAACCCGTTCTTGTTTGTGGCATAATTCATGCTCAACGCATCTTTTCAAGATTTTGAGACACTTTTTATCCGTGAAACATACCCATGAAAATAGAGCGTAAGAAAGATGAGCAAGAAAAATTAGAGAAAAGATTGTACAGACTCTTCTAATGGTTGTCCCACAGGGAGAAACAAACCCCGTCAAACATTATTTTTCCCTTTTATATATACGTAATTTCTCAATATAATATATATAAGTTATAATAACATAAAAATATTTTGGAATTTTTTATTGTTTGGATATGCCTTTTACTGTCTCGAGTTTATAAATTATATTATCTCTGACATATTTTCTTATGTTGACACCCTCTTCCACCACTCATAGCTTTCTGCTATATACTTCCAGTTGTCACATATGTTGTTTGCCCTGTCCATTTGGCCATTGACAAGTTTCTGGAATAGTTGTTATGAGAATGTTGTTCTAAGAGAGCATTCTTGTGAGAGTTGTTTATCTGGACGAATAAAAGTGGTCGAATGCAAGTTCCTGGTTAAAGTGGTTTGGGTCATACATGTGTATAAGGAAATTTAGGGTCTGTTTGGGGCAGCTGCAGCTTATCCAGCTTCTGCTGATAAGCAGCTTATCCTGATAATCTGCTGATGGACAGCTGATCCGGATCATCTGTCTGATTATTTGGTTAGTGTGTTTTTTAGAACAGTTGATTCTGGAGAAATGACCAATCTGCCCCTGTTCTGGATAAGTTATTGAGTTATTTGGTTCGTATGTTTTGTAAATAACTTATTTGCAATTTTTTTAGTTAAATTAATAATCTGTTCTGGACAGTCCTATATGTATTTACATACATATCACCCAATTCCTATGTATGTACATATCTAACACCTCTACTTAACTTTTTTACATGCATAGCACCAAATTCTTTCATAACCCATAAAAAAATAGCACCATTTTAACTTTTTAAGAATGAAATACACGTTTTCATGCATAAATAAGGTGACATATATGTAAAAAATAAAGTTGGCTTAAGGCAAATAATCCTACCCAAATAACCGTCAAGTAAAATTCCTCTGTTTTTCTGTTAAATTATTTGAAAAGACAATTTTCTTTCCTCACAAAATCATAAGAGAATCTAATATAAATCACAACAAAGTAGCATACACTTGTTCTTTTTCTCCCCAAATGAGCAAACTACTGCATCATTCACGGAAAATAATAACATCTGATAAATGTTAACTAAAAAAAAACAGAAAAAATGTAATGACACAGTAAACCTATGTCTCCTTTAATAAAACAACGATGAAATTAAACACTAATTCATTCTAACACCAAAAAAAAAAAATGGCGATAGAAAGAAGCTTGAGAAAAAACTTGGCTCAACAAAATCGTGAGAACAAACAACACTAAAACGGGAAACATTAAACCTATTAGGTATTTACCCACGTCCACCATTAATGCACACTACTTCTGGAGTAGAGAGAGAGTGGTTTTGGAGTAGTGAGAGTCTGCAGAGGCTTCAGATTTAGGAGACAGAACTGTGTCATTTGTCAGAATTCATATTACCTCAGAGGAAAGCGAACGAAGGATTGCCGAAGGAGGAAGAAGCAGGAGTGCCAATGAAGGAAGAAGCAGAAGCAAGGAGAGTCGACGAAGGAAGAAGCAGAAGCAATGTCGAATCCGGGAAGAAGAATCGCGAACGAAGGAAGAATCTGTTGAACTGGGAGCTTCCTTTATTCCCGAATCGCGAACGAAGGAAAAAGAAAACATTGCGGGAAGGGGCAGCAGAGTAATTGGGGGAAACTCGATAAGGAAACGCTGATCGCGGGTATAGACCAGCGATCCGCATGTAATGCAAGGAATCGTAGTTTTGATAAATGAAGGAAGAAGAAAACATTGCGGGAAGGGGCAGCGGGGTAATTGGGGGAAACGCGGATCGCGTGTAATGCAAGGAATCGTAGTTTTGATAAACGCATTTCCAACCCGCGAAACAAACGATGATAAGCTGCCCCAAACGGACCCTTATATACATACCAGTTAATTCTCATGTATTTTCATATCAAAAAAAAATTATATTTATGTTTATAATATTTTAGTGTCATGAAACTCATATATGATTTTAATAAATAATACTATTTTGTGTGGAGAATTCACGACAGTAGAGTGATATGTTAACGTCTTGGTGTTGTACAGAGATTTGATAAATAAAAGAAAATTGATAGAGAAAATAATTAATTTTTTTATTAGAAAAATTCAAAATGATAAAAATCATGGGACTTAGCTTAGTTGAAATGATTCCACTATTCTTATGTAGGGTTACAAGACGTTGTCAGTCCTTGAATAGCTGGAAACAATATTACAGAAGTGGAGATTATCGAAGTGACTTCCGCTAGAAAAGTGATGGAATATGTTGGGGAAATGACGACAACCAGCTACTGTAAAGAATGGCCAATAGTAGATGTCGTATGTCACAAAATCTGATGTCAGTGTCATTGATAGCGGCGGGGACGACGGCGATGGCCGAGCAGCAGATGTCTGGTGGTGGGGGTGATCCGATAGCGATGATCAACCAATAACAATAGTGATAGTCTGGCGACGGCGGCGACTGTGGTGTCCTGCCAATTGCAGTACGATGGCAGCGATTTTCAAATGACGGTGGTTTGGCGCGGCGACATTGATGGCTAGGCAATAATAGTCCGGTGATGGTGGTATGGCGGTAGCAACTATGTTGGACAAGCAAAGACGGTTTGACGGTAGTGGCAACGAGAAGGTGGGTGGTCCGATAATAGCAACAGTGGTGGCTAAGTTATTGTGATCTGTTGGCGACAATGCTAGTGGTCGAACAATGGTGGTTTGGGGGCAGTTGAGGCCAAGCAGTGGTGGTGGTCAGAACGCAATGGTCTGGCGGTGACAACGACAGCCAGACGGGGGTGGTGGAACTCAAAACCATCAAGAGCTTGAAGCTCCTTCAGCTTTCTCCTCCAAATCCAGGCCTCATTCATGAAGAGGGTTAAGGCTTATATCTATTTATAGATTTGGTGAGTGACAACATCCATAAATACTACATGAATCTAAACCACTTCATCAAAAGACTTAGAGTGATCCTTTGATCGGATGATATTTTATAAGTATTTAGGTGTCTTAATGATGTCAGAATTAAACAATATTAGACTTGTTGGATTCGTCTTGTTAGGGAGCTTGATTTGACTATAAACTTGTCAGATTTGAAGATTATTTGATCTCCTAATACATTTCAATATCTCTTACAATATTTCAAGCATTTGATATTGGCCCACTTGGACTTGGATCGAACTGTGTTTGATGTCAACTGACTCATTTTCTTATAACGCTTCATTTGAATCCGAGTATATGTAAGTAAATATCCCGAATTCTTGGTTCTAATGTGTATCGATATTCGTGTTTGATTAAGTCATTTATTTTGAACTATCAAATATTAATATTTTTTAAATTGTTAACGATTTAATTGTTATGTATTTTGGTATGAAAATTTAGAAATTATAAATGTAAATATATAATAATATATGAAAATAAATTTCAGACTCACGCCGCTCAAAATTTTAATATTATAATAAAAATATCACTATTATTTATTAAATAAAATAAAATAAACCTTTTTATAACACCGAAGCATTAGAAATGTAAATATGAAATTTCAAGCGTTAGACATGAAAATTTATAAGAATTTGTGGCATGCACGTAAATTTCCGAAATGATTAATGTTAAGTTGGAACTATTAGAGCCAGCACCCGGTGCCAGGCATCTGCCCGCCCGCACATGCGGTCATATTTCTTCATTATGACAACATCTCTGAGAAACATTGGGCCCCACAAATATGAGAAATTTACATGTTAGCACACAATTGTTATGTATTTACATATCCAGACATTTAAATTTTCATATTTATACAAATAATAATTCAAATGTTTTAAATTTATGAATGAAAATTATATTTTAGTGCTTTTTTTGTTAGATATTAGAACACTTACTTGAGAGATGACCCTATGCCGGATTTTCTCAGCCATGGACGCATCTTCTGCCGGCGTTCCCCCTCCGGCCACCCGCTCCGCCTCCATATCGCCTCCGACACAAACGACATCATCTTCATCATCAACGGGCCGCGCTTTCCTGAAATGCGACCTTCTGTAATACCCCGTCGCAAACGAATCGACCATCATCGTCGCCATGGCGGACACCATCGCTACGAATCCGGCGAAGGGGAAGCCGTGCCAGGGGTGGGCTGGGAGGCAGGGGGAAGTGAGGCGATCGAAGGCGTCGGGGAGTATGTGGATGAGAGCAGTGGCGAGGATTACGCCGGCGGCGAAGGACTTGATTGCGAAGAAGAGATCGTGTTCCGGACGGAGGAAGGAGATGGAGCGCCCAACAATGGGGATGAGAACTCCGGCGGCTCCGGCGGCGAGGATGGAGGCGAGGCCGATGGATTTGAGGAGAAGGGGGAGGTTCACGTTTTCCGATTTGGAGGTAGGGAGGCATTGGCAGGTGGTGGAAAGGGAGTGGAGAGGGAGTGGGAAGACGAGGAGGAAGAAGGAGAGGAAGTAAGAGGACGCACTCATGGTGTTTGTGGATTTGCCTGTGACTGATGATTAGGGGTGTTATAAGAAGGAGCGCTTATTGGAGGATTTACATACATACCACATAATTGTTTATTTGCATAATATTGAAATCTTTCATACCGTATTAAAAGTATAAGCTTAATTTATTTTTTAAATTGACGCCTAAATATTATAAGTATAAATATAAAAATTACATTAACCTCATAATGTAATTTTTAAAATAAATTCAGAATTACATTAATCTCAGTGTAAATCTAAATAAAAGCTATAATATTTTAAAATTGTCTTAAAATTTTTTAAGTTCTATTTTATAAAACATCAAACTTAAATAATATTCTGATGAATTATTACTTATAATTTTATGTTCTCCGACATCATGAGATTTTTTTTATATTATATGAGTCTATAATAATATAAAAGGATATTTAAATAAATGTCATATATTTCTATAACTAACACTTAAAATTTCATATTTACTTATGCGTGCCAGAAAATTCACGGCGGTAGAGTAATGGATTATCGTCTTAGCGTTGCACAAGAATTCAACACATTAGCGTCTTAGCTTTGCACGAGAATTCAACACACACAGATAACAGAAGAGAAGTAAGCATAGAATGAGACACCTCGACTTTTTACGTAGAAAACCCTTGAAAGCGGGAAAAATCACGGGGCCTAGCCCAGTTGAAATAATCCGCTATGAATATTGAGCACACAGGTTCATTCTTCTTCTAAATTAAGGAAGATAGAATTACAAAACTGTATCTATAATTTGGTTGCAGTTCTTGGTGACAACGGATCAGAGTCGGGAGCTCCATGAGCTGATGACCGCGCAACTCGTTGTTGACACGTGGATCGTAGTGATGAGCTCGTGTCCCACGACGATGACTGACGGTGTATGATTGGTGGTGATCGGCGATGATTTATGATCATCGACAGTGGATGACAGCGATCGACGAGTGTCGATGACGGCTTGACGGTGGTCGATGACGATCGACGGTGGTTGACGACGGTCGGGGTGGTGTTGTACTTCAACTCCTTCTTAGAGCTTTTAGTTCTTTCTGAAGCTTCCAGTCCCCCTCATGTGAGGGATGGAGCTCTATTTATATTGTTATGAGTGTTATTAATGCATAAATATGAATCAATTTAATCAGACGGTTCGGAGAGCTTCCTCAGATAAAACGAAATTTAATTGATAATTGAATGCTTTAATGATGTCGGAATTGCTCAATCTTTGTCTCGTTGGATTCGTCTTGTTGAGACACTCGATTTGACTATAAACTTGCCAATTTCAACATCTGTTTTACCTCCCAAATATGTTTGAAGATCTTCCAAGAGTGGTTTAATGACTCGATCCGGGCTTGATTTGACTCGGATTTGACTAATTTTGATATCATTAGGTCCGTCTCATTGAGTCGGTCAGTTCGACTATAAGTTTGATGAAATTATAGCTCTGGATAACCCTTAATTGATGTTTGAATGTTTCTTGCTCAAGATATCGTCTTGATATTCATGTCATGCTTTGAGATTCGTGCCGGATGATAAAAATTTGCTGGTGATGTATCATTTATAATTGTAACACTCAAAATTTTAACATCCAGTAAAAATATAACAATTATTAATTTTTTTAAAGTTATATATATATATATATATATATATAAGAAATTTAATATTATAATTGTAATTATTTTTTATATGTATTACATATTTTTAAGGGCGAATATTTTACATTGATAACGATGATACATTACATCCATCATGTCCACACGTTTATTTATTGAAAAAGGACAGAAGCGCTTTTAGTGTTGATAGGATGTTGTCATTTTGACCAGAAGGCAAAAAGTGCTACAAGAAAACAAAATAATTTTTGTTTTAATTTATTTTGAATAATTACATAAAAATCATTTGAAACATTGATATTTGCAAATCAAACATCCAGGTGCTTTCATTTCTAAATGGCAGGGTTCTGGTGGCATGTATGCAATTTCCCTTTTTTGTTTAGATTTGTTTATCATGTGATAAAAAAATAAAATAAAATAGTTATATGAAATATTATTTTTTAATCAATATTTTATACCATAAATTTATTTTTTAAGAAAATAAAAATATAAAATCTTTTTAGTCAAAAATTTATCATATTATTTAATCTAAATTCATAAAAGGTTATTTTTCTAATGATTATCTTAATTCATTTTTTCAAGAAAAATATGCAATATTAGAAATTCACTTTCACCACTATCTAGGAAAATTTATTATAAGCATGTGTGTGTGTGTGTGTTCACCACTATCTAGGAAAATTTATTATAAGCATGTGCGCGCGCGCGCGCGCGCGTGTGCGTGTGCGCGTGCGCGTGCGTGAGTGCGTGTGCGTGTGCGTGCGTGTGTGCCTGTGTGTGTGTGTGTCTGTCTGTCTGTCTGTCTGTCTGTGTCTGTCTGTCTGTGTGTGTCTGTGTGTGTGTGTGTGTGTGTGTGTGTGTGTGTGTGTGTGTGTGTGTGTGTGCGTGTGTGGGTGGGTGTGTGTGTGTGTGTGCGTGCGTGCGTGCGTGTGTGTGCGTGTGTGTGTGTGTGTGACACATCATAATTCTTAGATAATGTTCTTTTAATTTTTGATTAGTCATATAACTCGATCAAAACTTCTAATAATTGAAAGTTGCATATCTTTTATAAGGTGAAGTATATTTTTTCTATTGAGCTTTTACATGATTTACAAAGCATGTACAACTTACGCACATGAGATTATTTTTATCTCTTCTACATGTACAACAAATAAAATTTTTTTATTCATGTAAAGTTTGTATTAAAAGATGTTACGTACTATGAATGGTGTCAAAGATCATTTGATCTGTAAAGGAATTTTTTATGGTTATGTCATATAAAGTTGGAATGAAATATTGTATTAACACTATCAGTGAATGTGCAAAATATGAAATAATAAACAACATATTTACTATTCAAGAACTGTAAGAATCAATTGTGAATGATATAGAAGGATTAGTGTGGGACACTTTTACCTTAGAAAATATTGAAATAATTCAGTTATTGATTATGAAACATCTAATCCACATCTAATAAGTGAAGATCAAAGTTTGAAGAAGTTGTTAGAAGATGTAGGAGCATGACTACATCCAAGGTGCAAGTCTTTCATAAAATTATTTTTTATATTGCACTTATTTCGTTTGAAATATTTATACACATGGGCTACAAGATGTTTTGATATGTTGCTAGAGCTATTAGTACAAGCCTTCCCTGACAAGTCTTCATTGTCTATGAGCATGTATGAGGTGAAAAGAATGATGATAGCATTCGATCTTCGTTACACAAAGATAGATGTATGTCCAAATGATTGCAAGCTATTTTGAAAGGAAAATTATGATCAAGAGGTATGTGATACTTGAAACAATACCGAGAAGAAAAATAATATTGGAGGAAATAAAACTTGCATGAAGGCATAAAAAATTGATCGATATTTTCCATTGATTCATAGATTATGAAGGTTATTCAAATCAATGAAATCTGCAACGGACATTGTCTGGCATGATGAACATAGCAATGAAGATGGAAATTTAAGACCTCTGACAGATGGAAAGAACAAATTCATTTGACTTATTGTATCTTGAAATTGCTTCAGACCCGTGCAATATTTCTTAGTTTAGATTTTATGGTTTCTATCCATTCAAAGTTATGAGTACTGTTTAGAGCATTTTATCTGTGAATTTTGTTAATTATAATATGTCACAATGGATTGGTAGAAACAGAGCTCATTCATGGCATCAACAATTATTCATAAAGAAAAATATTTAAAAAATAATATTGATGTCTATATTCAACTATTAATTAAAAAAATTACTTAAGTTATGACGTAGAGTTCAATGTCTTTTAATGTTGAGAGTAGAGTGAATTTCATCATGTGTGTCTCTTTATCATGGACAATTAGTGATTTTCACACATATGAAATGTTATCTGGACCGAGTGCAAAAATATGATTTACATGCCCTTGTTGTGTTGAAAATTTTGAATCATTATAGTTGTATAAGAGTAAGAAGTTTTCTTTTATTGGCCGCTGACAATACCTACTATTTGATCATATATTTTGCATACAAATGTTTCATTTGGATAATAAAGAAAGAAATCAAAAGTGCACCTCAAAGATGCAATTAAAGTACAATTTTATCGCATGTTAAAAAATTGAAACTTCATGTTTAGTAAACATTCTAAATCAATCCTAAAAGGTTTGAAAGATTTCATTTTGGAGCAATTGTTGGACAATCAAACATTTCTAGTAAATAGAAATGAAAGAAGAAGAAAAATATTTTCTTAACTTTTCTATTGGTAGACTAATTTATTGCTCCCCCCAGTTTAAATGTCATGCATATAGAGAAAAATATTTGTGATAATTTTGTTATGTCTTTATCAGGTCTTGATAAATCTAAAGATAACCTCGAAGATGACCGTGATTTATTGGTCATTACAATAAAAAGAGATTTATTTCCACAACTCTTGGAAGCTGCTGATTATTTATTGCTTCCAACCAACTTTACAGTGTCAAAAAATAAGAGATTAATATTCTACAAGGTGCAGAAGAACATGAAATTGCCAAGAGGTTATTCATCAAATGCTTCTAGGCATGTGAACCCTACTAATTGTAAAATCATGGGATTAAAAAGCCATGATTGTTATGTGTTTTAAATGAAGTGTACCATCAGAAGAGGTTATGAGTATTATTAAGATAACACAATATTTAAAATTGATATGTGTTAAGATTATTAATCCAAATGAAAAGTTATCAACTTATCATGATATGATGCAACATAAATAAGTACTCTCTCATCCTTTTTTACAATTATGGTTCACATACTAGTAAATTTGGTTGAGGAAGTCAAATTTAGTGACCCAATTTACGACAGATGTACATGAAAGAGAATTTAAAGCTTTGAGAAGAAGCTGAAGTCCGGCACCATCCGTGACATCGTCAATCACCGTCGGCCGCTGTCGACCACCATCGATTGTAGTCGATACCTGTTGATCACCGTCGACCACCACCGACTATCGGCGAAACTCGTTGATCGTCGTCGACC